ATATATCAATTCTTGCACAATGCAAGTTTTCACAAAACACCCTGTCCCTCCTCATCATCTTCATCAGGGCTGCAGATATCTACAAGCTCAGCCAGGAATACTCCATCAGGGTAGAAGGACGGTGTCCTCTGCTGCAGGTCACACTCATCTGAACAGTGAGTCAGGATGGACTCTTCAGTATCTGAAGATGCATCTGATACTTTCTCTGCTGCAGTGTGAAGATCCTGGATCGGCTCCTTGAATCTTATGACTTAAATCAAAATAAATAAGGTTGACATGATTAAAACAGGATCCATTTATTCAAATGTCAAGTCTAATAAATGTTTTACACATGCATGAGCTATAAAGCAAATGTAGACAAAGAAGGAGATTAATTCAATGTAAGGATTTATCCACCAGTGAAGATTGTAATGATAAAATTAGCCTTTTCAATTTGTTAGTTCATTTAGTTATGGCCATGTGTGAATATGTCCCTGTTTGAGGAAAATTATAGAGATTTAAACTATAAACTTGACACAGATTAAAGCACATACATCTACACAACTGATTATATTGATTTATGTATATTTTACCTTGCTGCAGATTCTCATTATTTGCCTTCAGATTGCTGATTTCTGCACTCACAGCTGACATCTGGTAGAAGAGAGGATGGTTTTGGATGCTTTTTTAGTCAAACACTTCCGAATGCATTTACTTTTTTGTGAATCTATCTTTATTGTCAGCAACCAAAATAGATCATATTCAAAATCCTGATCAACCCTGTAGACCTTTTTAAAACACACTGTAGTTTTTATTTCAGGTTTTGAAAAGCTGCATTTGGTCATAGATAATACAGCTCAGACTTTGAACCAATCACCATGTTCACTGTCTGTTAACAGAACAGTGGTGGTCACAGGCCGTCAGTGTAAGACAGCGACATACTGTAACTCTTGCCCATCCTCTTATGGTCGAGTTAGATGAGTTCCAGTCGAGCGGCTCACTCCTCAGCTTCAAATCCGATTATTCACCAAGCAGAAAGGGTCATATGTGAGATTATGGATGAACTGCGTTTAACATGGAGTTTAAGTGGTTATGCAGCCATGTCACCATGTACTATTTGCTGTTTGATTGAGGCAGGACCTGGGATTTGTGCTGTCTGCACATATGTGTGTGCATGTAATGAGTGGATGTAGACGCAGCTCCATTAATTTCATGATATAATCTACAAGTCACGATTAATTATATTAATTTAAATCAGTTGCAGATGCTTATGAAGCATATAGTGGGATGAGGAAAGGGGCCTTTTGAGTGGTGTGTTGGCTGGAGGTTTATGTTGATGTTTCTGTGGTATAACTTGTGCTCTTAGCATTGACATTCATGTATACAGCACCTCTTTAGGATTGAGTGTTGATCTCCACCCTCTGCAAGTAAAGCACTCCTAACCTTGTTTCCCTGTTTGTGGAGGTTTTCCTCAGCCAGGGCCTCTCCTGCCAACCCTTCCTCCTCCCCTCCTTGGTCACTGCTCTCCTCGTCCTCCTCGAACACCGGCATCAAACCGGGGCTCTGCTGACAGCTCCACCTGTCCACTGCAGTCTAAATAAAATATTAAACACACACAACCTGAGCTCCTTCTGCGAACCTTAGTGGCTCATCGGCTGGAAATAAAAATGGAAGACATGAAATTTTCCCCCAAAATTAAGTCAAAGTGTTTCAATTGCCCCCTGGTGGCTGGCTGCAGAATATGTCATACCCCAGCCTGCATCGTGTTGACAGATGAAACTAAAAAATCCAAGAATACATCAAATACATTTTCTCTAAGAGGGCATCTATCATTTTAGGTAGTTCTTAACACACTGATATTTGTGTTCATAAATCTTGTTTACATTTTAAATTTTTTTGATGCAATAAACACGAGATGATGATTGACAGTGATTGATCAAGAGCTCTCTATGATCACTACAGCACAGACCCTGATCCAGTGACATCATTAGTGGAAGATGTGTGATTCACATCGTCCATCTCTATAAACAGTCTCTGATCTAATCCATGTCGTTACTGTCAGGATGGTCATGTTCCCTCAGTTCTTAGTTCTTACCCTGACAGCTTTAGGAGTGGGAGTCCAGTCCTGAGGTGAGAAGGTCCCAGTCTGAGCAGCTGCTGATGTGTTGTCAACATTTCCCTCCTCATTTCCTTCTCGCTCTTTGAACAAACTCTTCAACTACCAAAATGATGAGATACAGAA